ATTGTAGTAAAAAGATCCTCTGTAACACTGCTCGAATAACTTATAAGCATCAATTGAACATATAATCGCAAAAAAAAAGAGAAATTTTAAAACACAAAAGAAGAAACAAAAATTATTATTATCAAGCTATACTTGTGCGGATCCAGTGGACTGTCGATTGTTCCCAGCGCCAAGCAACGCAACGTATCGCGACCGGTACCATACTGGACGCACTGGTCCACTATTTTTTGCGTAATCCTCTGGGTCAGTGGAATACGTTGCCCGTTCACTCGTACATGTGTGCAACGATTCAATACACCTGAAAAATTGTGAACATCTATTTTCACATATTTTCGACGAACCAACACAAAAAAAGCCGTTTCGTAGGGGCAAGTATGTCTGTTGCGATGATTCAACACAACAAAAGATTATGGGTATTCGTGTGTAGGGTCTTTTGCCCTTCACGGGCCAAATATACGCATGAAAAAATGAGCTATCACGTTAAGTTATGCCGAAAAAAACATTAAAAAGTCTCATTAACTGGCACTACGTTAGCACACATGCGATATGCGCATTTGCATGAGCAGGAAGCGCATTATTCTCCGATGAACAGAACAAAAAATTAGCGCAGTGAGATAAAAAAGAACTTTTATATAAAAACTCTTACTCCTTATACACTGTCTGTGTTTACAACTAAAGCATAAAACACAGGCAACCAATTTCTACATATTCCTCTTTACATGACTTTTCAACATGTCACATGGTTTGTACCACATTAACAGCCTTATTATTTCCCTTTCATAATCTATTCCGTATTCCCACCCTACACTAAAATTCATTGACTACGGCCGTGCCATATTTTCCACGGCCCGAACTATCCGCTTATTTCGGAAATTACGGTTCGGCCTGCCAAAGGCTGCAAATTACTTATCAGTTTAACGCACTTCGGCTGCTCCACTTGGGTCGCCCACTTATGATTCGGTCTTCTAATGGCTGTTGTTTGTCATTCTTACATATTCTGCGTTATTCATACATTATCCAACAAAAAAGGTATTGCAAAAAAAAGATAAAAACGAATTGTGGGCCCACTCATATAGACCAGAATTAAAAAAAAATTTTTTTTTTGAGATAATTTCCCTCACTTGTCAAATAGTAGCTTTATCTTTTTGAAAAAGAAAATAATTTGACAAACCTTCAGGCGCTCCTTTTACGAACATTTTTGCACCGGTTCCACCTGATGATGGTACACAATATGCACTCATACTTTTGCGGTCACGTGAAAATTCAAGCGTAAATTCCTTTTTCCATTTTTGCTGAATCACTCGATTGCAAACACTTCCCAGATCGCGAGGTGATAGACCCGATTTATTTGTCCCATAAACATTCATCTTCTCACACAGCACCACCAGTGCTGTTTCCGTTGCTTCACCCACTTTCTCGTATACGTGTTTGGTCTTAAAACATAGAAATTAGAAAACAGTATAAGCAAGGAAAACAAATTTCTAGAGTTTTCGCACAAAAATTTCTTGCCACACAATTTTCAGCATTTCTCAGCA